ATGAAAGAAAATTCATCAAAATATGAAATACAATTATATTTGCAGATGATATGATTTTATAGAGAGAAAATCCCAAGAAGTTCACTAAAAATTATTAGGAGAAATAAATGAATGAATTCGGCAAGATTGCAGGGTACAAAATAAACATACAAAAATGAATTGTGTTTCTGTATACTAGTAATTAACGATCTGAACATGAAGAAAACAGTTACACTTGTAATATCATCAAAAAGAACTAAATACTTGGGAATAACTTTAACAAAAAAAGTACATCTCTTATCCTCTTAAGATCCCAAAACACTGCTGAAAGAATGCCAAAGACCTAAATAAATGGAAAGAGACCCCATGGTCATGGATGGGAAGATTTAATATTGTGAAGACAGCAATACTCTCCAAATTAGTCTACAGCTTCAATATAATCCCTATCAAAATTCCAGCTGGCTTCTCTGCAGAAATTGGCAAAATGATTCTAATATACATGTAGAAATTCAAGGGACCTAGTATAGTCAAAGCAATCTTGAAAAATAAGAACAAATTTGGAGGACTCATACTTCCCAATTTCAAAACTTGTTGGAAAGCTGTGGTAGACAAGACATGTGGTAGTGGCATAATGATAGATATATAGAATAATGAAATAAAACTAAGACTCAACCATTAAACCCTCATGTTCATGGTCAATGCATTTAAACAAGGATGCCAAGGCTATTCAATGGAGGAAAGAATAGTGTTTTCACAAATGGTGCTGGGACAACTGCGTACATATATGCAGAAGAATAAAGCTAGACTCCTACTTCACACATAGATAAAAGTTAACTCAAAATGAATCAGAGACCTAAAGGTAAGCACTAAAACTAACTCTTAGAAGAAAATAGAGGAGCAAATCTTTATGACCTTTCAGTCTTTTTAGATATGCCACTAAAGCACAAATGAAAAAAAATATATTTTGCTCCAAAGGATGCAATCAAAAAAGTAAAGCAAACCAAAGAGTTGTTTGCCAACCATATATCCAATAAGAAACTCATATCTAGAAAATGTAAAGAACTCTTTCAACTCAATTTAAAAAATTTAAAATGGACAAAGGATAGAATAGACATTTCTCCAAAGAAGATACACTAATGGGCAATAAGCACAGAAAAAGATGCTCCATGTCACTAATCATTAGGGAAATGCAAGTCAAAACCTCATTGAGAGAGCACTTGACATCCACTAGCATGGTTATAAGAGAAAGATAATAACAAGGGTTGGTAAGGATCTGGAGAAATTGGAGCCCTCGTACACTGCTTATGGGAATGTAAGTATAAGTCCTCTGGGGAAAAACTTGGCAGGTCCTTAAGAGGTTAAACAGAGTCACTGTATGATGGGGCAATTCCACTACTGTGTATATGTCAAGAAGAAATGCACACAAAAACTTGTACATAAATGTTCATAGCAGCATGATCCATAATAGCCAAAAAGTAGAAAAAAGACCAATGCCTGTCTCCTGAAGGATGGATAAGTAAAATGTGGTATGTCTGTACAAGAGAATATTATTCAGCAATAAAAAGGAATGAAGTGCTGATACGTGCAAGAAACCAGTCATGAAAGACATTGTATTGTTTGATTTCACCCGTATGGAATGTCCAGAATAACAAATCTATAGAGACAGAACGTATGTTAGAGATTGACACAGGGTTGGAGGGAATGAGGAGTTCAGGACTCCTTTCTGGGGTGATGAAATGCTCTAATGTTGATTATAGGGATGGTGGCATAACTGTATGAATATACTAAAAGTTACAGCTGTATGCTTTAAATTGGTAAATTCTGTGGTGCACAAGTTACCATCTATTCAGGAAAAAAGAAAGAAAAGTGCGTGAGGAAAGCACCCAACCCAGACTCACACTCATTAGCCATAACTGAGCAAGCATCTGCTGTGTGCTGTGCTGTAGCTGAGTGGCAGTCTGCTGACCGTTCTCTTTCCATGATGGGTGAACCACATGGGTAAGAGTAGGGGCCATGGGATGGAGACTCTACTTTGTCCCCAGCACCCACTGGTGCTTGCCAAAGGAACTTGGAGATTACTTTGAGGTAGTTACTAAGCGTGTCTTATCCTTATATTTGCAGACATCCTGAGGGAATTTAACCCTTCCTTGAAGGGCTTCTCTACTGGCAAAGGGAAAGAAAACAGTCGTGGAGCCTTCTTAAACCAGGCGGTGGCAGGAAACAAAGCTGAGTGAGCAGGGGTTCCCAGGGGGGTAGACAAGCAGAGACCCTCTGGGGAACCAGGGTTGGGGGTGGGATTGGTCTAGACTGGGGTTTATGGCTGAAGGTTGGGAGGCTTGGTCAAAGAAGGGGTCTGAGGGTCAAAGGTTGGATGAGGCTCTCTTGGGGTTGTATCTCACTATCAGACACAGAAATCTACTAACCTATTCCCCCATCCCTCTCCACACCCAGTTTATTTAATACCTCGTGTACTATGACCAGGTTAGTTGGGCTAAGAGTTAAGAAGGGAAGAGGTTGACAACTAATGCTTCCTGCTAAGTACAGGGCCAGGGACTTTGTGATAATGGTAGAAATAATTCAATGGCTGCTTTCCATGTGCCAAGCACTGTTCTGAAGTTCTCTACATGGCTTCTCATTCAGTTCTCCCAACAACTCTTTGAAGAAGGTATGCCTACCATCCCCACTTTACAAAGGGAAGATCTGAGGGCCTGCAAGGTGAAGTGTCTGCCCAGGTCTCAGATCTCCCAGTGGGTGGAGCCAGGATTCAAACCCAGGCTGTCTGGCACTGGTGGCTTTTACTCCAATGGGCCTGCTTTGCCCATCTCACCTACTATCCCTGATGACCCTCTAGAGTAGGGGGGCTTCTCTCCATTTTGCAGTCTTTTAAAACAAAGAATGTAAGTCACTTTCCCACGGTGAGCAAGAGGCAACTAAATGTCTAACCCAGGTCTGTTTAACTTGACCATGTCATCTTGAGGGTGGGAGTGCTAAAGTCATGTCATCTGCCAAAAATGGGCACATGCTGAGCTGTAGGTGACATGAAATACTCACATGTATACTTCCTGTTTGCCCAGAACAAGCCTGGCTTGGAAGAGAAAGAAAAGTGGGTCATCAAATATGCCAATCAGAAAATAGTCACACCATGAGTTGCCCCTTATATGTGATGTGCAGTGCTCTGTCCTTCAGTGGAGCCTAAATGGAGAAGGAGCTCTGTGTCACGATGGCCCTCAGTCCTATCTTCCTACAGGAGGCCCACCTGGACCCTCTCTGCTGGAGGATTTGGTTATGGGTCTCTCTGCACGGTTCTTCTCCCAACCCTGCCTCTCACACTGCTTCCTCATGTGTGTACCCATAGGCACTTGCCTGCCCAGGCCAGGAGGCTGGTGGACCTGATGAAGAATGATACGGTGAGTCTGAGGAGGGCAGGGCCCCGGGGGGAGTTCCCTGGTATGGGAAGTGGGCAGGAGAAATCTGTGGACAGCTCTAGGGTGAGGGACGGATGGGAGCCATGCTGGGCAGACACATCTGTAGCCTGAATTGCTGCTCCTCTGAAAAGAGGATGCCCAGCCGTTTGTTCAGCCACTCAGGCAGCTATTCAAATTACACATGGATCATGGTTCAGGCACTGGGCCGTGCTGGAGATACCCAGGAAAATACAGCACAGCACTGTTCTGTTCTCAGGGAGCTTACAAGGGGAGACCAATATGACAAAGAAAAATTATAAAACACTCGACATGTGCCACAGCAAGAGGGCTCTGTGGGTGCAGGAGAAGGGACAGGCCCCTTTGAATGGGAGGGCCAGGGAGGTCGGATTTTGACCTGGTTCTGAAAGATGGTAGGTTGATAGGAGGTTCTTCCTCAGATTCAGATTTTTTTTTTTTAAGTTGTTCCCAGGTAGATAAGATAATTAAAGGAGGGAACTAAGATTCATTATGTTGTATATACCCGAAGTCTATTGGTTAATGTACCCAAAATCTATTATCAAGAGTTTTAAGGATATTTCTTTTCTAGATTTTGTTTTCATCTTTCTCTTCCCGCCCTCTTTTGGAAGCATCCTTCAGTCAGAGAAGCAAACCTACATAGGCCTTAGGATAACCGAAGAGGCTGTGAGGGCCACAGCTGTCCTTGGGTTGCCTTTCTGGGATGTGTGTGGCTTCCCACATTCCATCCAGCCCTGTGACTTCAAATACTTCTCCACATCCCTCTTGGAGGAGACAGATCTCAAAAGTGGCCAAATCTTTTCAGAGCACATGCTGAGAGCTGCCGCCTTGCTCTCACCAGCCTCTCTGGCTTAAATATGGGCAGCCTTGACTAGTATAAATTATCTGAGTTTGTGGAGCTCCTTCTTCATAAAAAAATGATCCTTTCTCCCTAAAGGCAAAATTAAAATTTAGGACTTCTAGAGGATTGTAGAACAAACTTTCCTTCCCCAGGGCCCCTCCCCACCTCCTTGCTATGCTAGGGATGGAGGAACGAAGCTCAGAGGCCACCTGCATCCACCCCCAGCAGGCCAGTGAGAACTCTGACCCATGTGCTGTGAGATTCTACCTAATGAACCATTTAGCTCCTATGACCTCAGGACCCCAACACCGAAGAACAGAAGATAGTAAAGTCACCTAAACACTCTGTAGGGTGCAAAAACCTCTAGTGTTCAGCGCTTTGTATTTTCCTGGACTTGACTCTGGAACACGGTGCTTACTTGTTTGTTTCCTGTTTATTTCAGAGGATACATTTTCAGGAGGACTGGAAGATAATAACGCTGTTTATAGGAGGCAATGACCTCTGTGATTTCTGCAAAGACCCGGTAGGTCTCTAGGCCCTTCCCTCAAGACTCATTCCCAGAGGAGGGGGATGGAGCTGCTGGACTTGGGTCTAGCCTGGGAGTAACCCTGAGACAGAGAGGACATTGACCTCCAGGAACACATCTGACTGGACAAGTAGGATTGGTTATAAGATTGATCCTGATTAAGTTCCCTATCAAGGAAGCCTGATCATATCATTCCAGAAACCAAGATATCATTCCAAAGGCCTAGAAGAATCTTGCCTTTCTTCTTAGGGAGTCGTAGGTTAGCTTCTTTCCCTAGACTTCAATGGCCTTGCCATCTCCACCATTCTGCTGTCACTCATATGGGAAAATTAATTTCCTCAAAGGCATTTAGGCAAGGTTCAGAGCCAAGTAGTTCTGGACTGATGGAAAACCCAAGGTCAAGGCTACTGCTCTATGGTTGCTTCATTTCTTCCTGGCACCCCAGTCTCTGGGCTGAGAGAAGCCCCTCAGGCCACACTGACTAGTCTGCCACCTACACTTGTGGCGGGTGCTCTGCTAGGAGCTAAGCAATGGCAAATGAAACACAACCCCTCAAGGGACCTACACTGCCAGGGGAGGGAGACAGAGACAATTCATCATAACAAAGGAAGCCTTCACGGTGTGGTTCTAGTGATGCACACACCAGGAGAGAGGTTGGAAATCAAGGTTGTTGTGGGAGCTTGGTGTACAGGGGGAGGCAATTGTTGGGGAGGTTTACACAGAGCAGGAGGCTTTCCAGCTGGGACTTGAGATAAGTAGCTTTGTCAGGCAGAAAGGGGACCAGCAGAATGAGGTTTAGGGAGTGGTGATCTTGCTGCAGCCTGTGAGCACCGGTCCAGAGGGGTGACCCTGTCCCCCAGACCCTTTGTAATGCATTTTCCTGGCATCAAAGCCACTAGGAGTCAGAGGTTTCAAGCTGTGATCTGAGGGACCCACAGGGCAGCCTCAGGGGTGCTGGTGGTGGGTGGGGAGGTGGGACGCCCCTCCCTGTACCTCCTGAAGGACCCTGCTTTGCCATCCTCTGTAGAGCAGGGCTCTTAGTTAGATTTCAGTCAGAGAAAGAGTTATACTGCTTTTTAAAAGTTTAAGAATCACAAATATCAAGATCAGAAGAAATACCAGTTAAAATGTGTTTAGGCTTGGGGTGTGAGTGTTTGACAAGACCCTCTTCCCTTCTGATTAGCTCCTTAAGTGATTTGTTTAGAGTGTGGCTTCTCCGATACAGGAGGCTCCAAGCAGAGCAGATGAGGCCACAGGACCAGAGACTGCTCAAGTTGCAGGAGATCTTAGCGTTGTCTGCTCCAGCACCCGGATTTTAGAGGGTCAGAGATGAAAGTGTATGAACTAAGGCTCTACATCTAGTTGCTATGAAGTAGCCCCAGAGCTCCCCATAGCTCCATGCCAAAGAGAGGGTGTTTCTCTGAGGGCCACGGCCATGACAAGCCCCGGGACCACAGGGTTGGTGTCAGGGATGGGGTCCCCAAAGACAAGCCCTACATTTCAATGTTGTCTGCTGTGGCTGACATACAGGAAGAAAGGGACGCAAGAGAGAAAGTACGCTTTGTTTGTAGAGAGATGGTCGACAAATGGTGTTCAAGGGACACTTCCTCTTCCCGCAGGTCCACCATTCACCCCAGAACTTCACAGACAACATCAGGAAGGCGCTGGACATCCTCCACGCTGAGGTAGGCAGGCTGGGCTGCATGACCTCTGGGGCCTCAGGCCATCCCTGGAGATGGCTCCCTGACAAGTCCCTGGCCACCTGCATGCAGAGGTGTCCAGGAGGAGCAGAGGGGGTGAAGGCAGTGGGTGGGGCCGGATAGAAGTCCCTAGTCCTGGAGTCTGCAACTCCAACAAGAGCAGCAGGCCTCAGACCCCTAAAAGGGCCGGGGCTGCCCAGCCTCTTCCTCTTCGCACTGACGCTGCTTTTTCTCAGGTTCCTCGGGCGTTTGTGAATCTGGTGAAAGTGCTCCAGATCATCCCCCTGAGGGAGCTGTACCAGGAGACTAAAGTCAACTGCCCAAGGCTGATCCTCAGGTCAGATGACAACTTCTCCGCTATTCTCAAAAGAGGCAGGGAGCCAGGCCCGAGCAGATTCTTTAGAAAACCTAAGGGCAGAAATGTGGGAGTGCTGAGACACCCCCCAACCCCACCATTTTCTAACCTGAAAAGGTCTAATGAGGGAACATTGGCGGGGGGGGGGTTGACCTTGGCATAGGCCTCAGCTTCCTACCATGGGGTATGCAAGGAACCCAGCTCTGCCTCTGTTGCCACGACAACCACCAGACACCCTTCCGTCCTCCAGGAGGGAAGAATAGAGCGTTAGGAGTGGACTGAACTGTGTGGAGCACTTGAGTTCTGCTAAGACCAAGTGCAAAGTGTGTTCAGAGCTTCCCCATCCCCGCCTGGAGGCCCATCTCCAGGACAGGGGGCATCTCTGGGGGGTGTGAATGCTGCAGGCTAGGCATTCACAAATATAGAGCCACTGTCACTTGCTAGAGGAGGAGGGGGTGGTCACATCAGAATCCACAGAGTTCAGAGGCAGTATTCCCTGGAGAACAGAGCCCTGTACGGAAGGCCACTGAGAGGACATCTTCATCCCTCAGCCTCCAGAGCCAAACAAAAATACCTTTTCCCTCCAGCATTCCTAATCTGAACCATAATGCTCCAGAATCTGAAACTTTATAAGTGCCAGTGCAATGCCACAAGTGTGAAATTCCACACTCCACCTCATGAGATGGGTACAGTCAAAATGTAGGCACGCAACACAGTTATTCAGTGTCCCGAAGGGAAAAGGGATCCTCTCAGCCCCCTGCAGCCATGATATTTGATCTTTCCCACACCCACCTGCAAAGGGTAACAAAATGGCACGTGTGCATGCTGGATGGGCCAATGGGAGGTTCCCCACCTGGGGTTTCACTGTGTGGGTTTTTTTTTTTTTAATTTGGTTGATTGTTTTTGCTTTTCTCTGGGCTGGTATTTTTAAAAATGTCAGAAAGGGCTGCATGATAACCCTAGGGTAATGCAAATATTCCCAAATCCAAAATCTGAAAAGCTCCTGGTCCTGAGCCCAGGCCACAATGACTGTGCTATCCCACTCCCACTCCCTCCCCACCCTCACAGCCCCCCCATCTCACAGTGTTCCTGTGCCTCCCTCCCCCACAGCCTGTGAACTCTGCGTCCGTCCCTGCTGGGACAATGGAGGGGCTCAGCTGCTGTTTGCTGAATGCCTGAATGAACAATTCATAAGGGCCAGACTTGCTCTTGGAAATTAAGGGGCACCTTGGCTGCTCCCCTAAAGATCCATGCTGCGCCATACCTGGGGGACCCAGACTGCCAGGTCCTCTGGAGAAGGCCTCCTGGTGCTGTGAGCAGAGACAGGATAGCTGCTGGGTGACACGTGCCCATTAGCTCAGCTGGTGTCAGGCGTGCTGTTCTCAGCTGCTGACTCATCCTCTGGCTCCCACTCTCTCTCGTTGCTGGGCCACACTGGGTTCTGTGTATTCATTTCAGAGCAGTTTACCAGAAAGGCCCTTGCTACCCATTACTGAAGGGGGTTTTAGATCATTAAAACTAAAAGTTTAGAGTAGGCATTTGCCAGGTCATTTGCAAATCTGAAATGGTCTGGTCCTGAATGTCAGCATTGGATGGACCTGGGTCAGCTTGTCCTGCTGCCTCACCAGTGCTCTGTACTTCCCACCTCTTTGCTGTTCTGCCTGAGTAGCCAGGCTTTCCTTGGAGCTGCTGGGTCTACGCTAAGCCATCCACACTATTGTTACCTCATCCCCCATCCCAAAAGCCCAGACTTGCAAGATGGCCAGCCAGGCCAGGGCTGCAGACTGGACAGAAGTTTAATAGAGAGATTCAGGGCTCAAGTTCAGAGCCAGATAGACTTAAGTTCAAGTCCTGGCTCCTATATTTAGTACCTGTGTGATTTTGGGAAAGTTATGCAGCTACTCTGAGCCTCAGTTTTCTCATCTGTAAAATGGGGATAATGATAATACAAATTCTGGAATGGCTGGAAGTATTAAACAGATTAATGCTGATAAAGTTCTTATCAGTGTTTGTACACTTTACATTTGATGTACATCAGCAATTGTCATGGTCACCTCAGCCATAAGGTAACTCAGATCCATAAGTGTCACCCCTACAGAGGTGAGAGGTGGTAACTATTTCATTCTTAAAAGCAAATCCAGGCCTGGGATATTTTCTTCATCTTCATTTGATATAGTCTACAGGTTAGCCAGCCAGACCCTTCATTAGCACAGATTTCAGATACCTCTAAGTTCAAAAAAGTATATTGAGTCTGATAGCCAAGGTTTCTGCATCACTTATTCAGGATGATAATCTCAGTGGGGTGGGATATCTCTTTGGTTTGCTCTACAGGTCTCTGTGTCCCTGTGTCCTGAAATTTGATGATAACTCAACAGAACTTGCCTCACTCATCGAAGTGAATAGGAGATACCAGGTAAGCCAGGAGGAGTTCTGAGGCCACACAGAATTGCACTGTGGTTTGGTGGCTCCAGAGAATGAATCAATGCTTAGGTGATTTTGACCTTGACTGGGCAGGCAATGACCATTGGCCATTTTGCTGATTTAAAAGCACTCTGAGGGGCAGTAGGGGTTGAGCTTCAGTTTGTTGGAATTAAGCTACAGAGTAGGTCACCGAACATACTTCACTGAATTCCAGTTCCTGGGTTTTACATGGAAATGAATGTTTCCAGCTGTCTGCAGACGAATATGTATTGTGGGAAGAAGTTTCATAGTGGACGTGTCTAGATCCAAAATTCTGGACACACACACTGCTCACCAGCTATGTGACCTTAGACAAGTAGGCAATGAAACTTCTCTGAGCTTCCAACTCCTGGGTAGGAAAGGGAGGCTGAGACACCGCCCTCCCAGAGGGTCTCAGAGGTTCAGTGAGGTCCTGTGCATTCCCTCTGCCCTTTCCTCTATGGGCACAGATGTTATTACACAGCACAGGAGAAATAAAGTCAGCAGATGGTCTCCATCTTGTGGATTGCTCATTTTTTTCCTTTCTCCACCAAATCTTTGAGCAGAACAGCTGCCTCCTTTGACTGTCATGAGTTTCCCTTGGAATAAGTTACTCAAAGAGGACAATGGTAGGCCTGCCTTCCAGAGTAGACTGTAAACAGCTTTCAGAGTTGAATCATCCTTCAAGTCATCTATGGACTCCTTGGAGTAGAACCACTTCCCTGCAGATTCCTTTGGGGGCAAGCCATACCTGCCAGGTGTATTGGGGCTCAGAGAGGTACAGCCATCTGGATGACTCCCAAGCCAAACTCTTTCTGCCATGAGCAAGCCTCTATCTCTGGGAGGAAGGCCACAGCCACACCAGGGGAGGGAAGGCAGCCGAGGTTATGGCCACGAGAACAGCCTGGTTTCACTTGGGGTTCTTAGGTGTAAGCAACAAAAGCTTATGAAGTTTCTGGCTAATTTAAGCAGATTTACCATTTAAGCAGAATTTCTGGCAGAGCTAGAGAGCTGGGGTTAGAGGTAAGAGGCCAAGCCACCAGAAATCACAGACTTATGGAATTCTAGGGTCCAAGCCATGAGAATCAAAATCAGGTCACAGACGTAGTCTATTGAGGACATCAGGGACTCCACTGTCTAGGAACCAGTGAAATGGGTGCTAAAGACAGGCAGTGATTGGTGATACCTCAGTCAAGTGCCCATGCCCTGGCTGCAGGAGTGCTGAGAATGTGAGTGTTCGTCTTTTTCATCCTCCCGTGTGGGAAGCAGGTGCTCTTCACACAGTGGGGGGTCTTCAAACATAGCAAGTGGTTTCAGATGCTGAGCAGCCAAAGTGGGGAGGTACCCACTGACATTGTCCCCAGGCCCCAGCAGGTAGGCTAGCTGCTCCCAGGTCTGCTCCCAGTCACCACTAAGACCCTGATCTAGTGCTCTGGAGACAGTAGCACGTCAGCCACACAAGTCCATCATGCCCCTTAAGAATCCTCTCACTCCCTACTTCCAGCCAAGGCTGTGGTCCTCCTCTCTCTCCCCAGAGATGATCACTACTATGACGAACCAGGGCATTTTCTTAGTGCCTATCATGTGCCAAGGACTCTATACGCTATTTCTTTCCATTGTCAAAGGTGTGTGGTTCCATCAGTAGCCATCACGGCTGATCCCAGAGCAACCAGTAGTGTTGAGAGGGGCTTAAGAGATGGTCCAGGACCCCAGCATCTTTCATTTACTGACCCAAAGAGGTCAGAGAGGGAAACAGCTTACCAAAGGCCACACAGTTACTGCCCAGCATCTGTGCCTCGTTCCCCGCCCGTGAGGAGCCACTTTCTTTCCTTCCCTCCTGTCTTAATCAAAGTAGAGTCTGGCCTGGGAGGTCAGGCATGAGATATCCTGACACAGGGCTCTCCTTCTGGCCAAATAGGGAAAAGACAGTTTGTAGCATCTTTTGAAGTGACCACGATAACTTTCCTAACTTCCCTCAGCAGCCAGTCCTTGCCCCAAACAGTAGAAACCCTGGTAGGCAGTGCAATGGCAGAGTCGAGCCAGAACTTTGGGGTCCTCTGAGTAACCCCAGCAGATGCTGTGATAGTTATAGCTGTTACTGTCCTAAACAGATCTGAAAGTCTCACATGCACATACCAGGCACAAGTAAAGTAAATACCCATTAAATATTGTTGATTCACCTTTGATCATTCTGAACAAATGTAGCACAGAAATAAATCGTTAGGATTATCCAAAATGTCATTTAACTGAATAATACGCCCCTGAAATCTTGAAACAGAATAGCTTTAAATGTGGGAGGGGGGCGGTCAAGCTAATAGACTTAGGTTTTTCTCTTACCTTCCCCTTTTCACAGCCTAAGTCATATCTACGCAATTGCAGCAAAGCTTGGGAATGGGGGTTGAGATAAGGTCTGATCTGAAAAGCAACTAGCTGGCTCCTCGTGGGGTGAGATTTTGCTGAAGGTCAATTTCATTCCACAGTCAGATTCTCTTTAATTCTGTATTGGAGGAAGAGATCGCTGAGGACCATCTGACCCTGTTCCCTTCCCCTCCTGCAGGAGGGAACTCACCAGCTGGTAGAGAGTGGACGGTACGACACAAGGGAAGATTTTACAGTGGTGGTGCAGCCGTTCTTTGAAATAGTGGACATGCCAAAGACCGCGGTAAAGAAAGCAAGCGTCATAGTTAAACAGAATCCACAGATAGGGTGCTGTTCCTTTTATGTCGTCCAGTGTCTATAACCGCCTCTCTCTCTGCCTGGTAACCAGGAGGGATTGCCTGACAGCTCTTTCTTCGCTCCTGACTGTTTCCATTTCAGCCTCAAGGCTCACGCCCGTGCAGCCTCCGGCCTCTGGAACAATATGGTAAGATGGCCGAGGAGGGAAACCCATCCTCCCTCTGATAAAAAAGGACACCAGAAAGCCTGTGGAGACCCTCAGAGGCCCATCTCTCAGGCTGTGTGATTCCCACACAGCAGTGATGAAAAGTCCTATTGTCTTTGCCTCTCCCTGCCCCACCTGGCCCTGAGCTGCCATCCTGGCCATGTCTTTCTCACTCGCCATTTTCCTCCTTCTTGGTTTAGCTGGAACCTGTGGGCCAGAAGACAACACATCATAATTTTGAAAACAAGATCAGTATCACATGTCCGAACCAGGTAGAGTGAAAAACGTGTCCTTCCACGCCTCCACCTGAAGCCTCATTTCCATGTTCCTCACCCCCAGCTCCAGCTCTGTCCACCTACCCGTCCCATGTTATACTCCAGGCTAACCGCCCTGTATGCCCCATGTGGCTGGGCTGAGAGGGACAACCACCTGGAGCGACCCTGGACCATTCCTTAGTCTCGGCATAGCTAGGAGCCCCAGCACAAGTCTGGGCTGGACACAGCCTTTTAGGCAGGCGTGAGGAACATGGTGCATCCAGCTCTCATGCTGAAGGCTGGGGCTGGGGAGAACTTCTAGGGCAGATGGGACAGAAGGATCCCCTGTCCTCATGTAGTCACTGCCTCTATAGCAACCTGGGCAGAGTGAGGAACTCAGACCTGGAATGCTATCTGGTGGGGCTAGGAATGGTTAAGTTGGCAGCTGGAGCTAGGAAAGCAGACGTGAACCAGGATGGAAATGCAGATAAGCCCCATCTTCACCCATCCGTTGTTGAAGAGGTTCTTGGCGCTCTACAGCTGCGACCCTCGCACCATAAATCCCTCTGAGTGGTCTTGAGCCGAGGCTGGGACCCACTATGCCAAGCCGATGTGAGGGAGGCCACCAAACATCTGACTTTGCTTACACAGGCAGGAAGGGGCCCAGGCAGCTGTATGTGGCGCAGGCATAAGGTGGCAAGGAAGCCTAGGGACTAGAGATATGGGCTTTTAACAGAAAAAAGAGGTACAGTGTTGGGAGAGGCCATCCCAGGAGATAGCAGGGAGACATATACGTTACAGGCATATGTGCGCTCTTGGTGTGGGGTTCAGGTTTCCGGGAAGCCCTGTACATCCTAGGGTGGGTCAGCCTGGCAGGGAGTGTGGAGCAGGGAGGCTGACGGTGTTTATGCAGGGGATGGTGAGCAGAGAAGTCTGCCAAGTCTGCTGCAGTTGCTCACTGTTCCCTCCCCTCACTCATCAGGTCCGGCCGTTTCTGAGCACCTACAAGAACAACGTGCAGGTACCTGCCTTTTGTGTTCTTTTGGCTTGCCGGTCAATGCAGCGGGCAGTCCCTGAGCTGGGACTGGCCCCTCAGGATGGGGTGGGAAAGTGGACAAGAGATCTGGATGGGCAGAAAAAGCATCTGCCAGCCTGCACCTCCTCACAGGGCAGAAGGCAGAGTGAACGCCATTGATTACAGCTGGTAGGCATCCAGCCAATCCCATCACTGCTTCCTTGGGGACCGCCATCCTCCCATACAGCTGGAGCAGGGGTAGGATGATGGATTGGGGTCACTGTGTCAGTGCCCTGATTCTTGCTTTAGACGACGGAGGGGTCTAAACTAGGCTAGCAGATAGTCAAAGTCACCTAGGGAGACTTCTTCAAATGCCCTTTTGAGGCCCCTCCCAAGGAACAGAACCCAGGAATCTATTTTTTTAAAGCTCCCTGGTCCCTTTCAATCCTGAGACTCTATTCTGTCCCCATAGGGTCATGGGACTTTGCTGTTGTGCAGAGACAGAGCCCCTTCTGCCTCAACCCCCACCTCAGGTAAGCCCCCTATGACACACCAGGCCCCAGGGCCCCTCCCCAAGGACTTACACACTGGTGACTTTTCATATGCTAACTAAGTGGCAGTTATGATCAGTGCTTGCTAGGATGAGTCCCTTCATTGTCCCATTCTGGCCTGTGGTGACATCACGTCCAGCGGACACCAAGGTGTCTGGGGCCAGGAGCTATTTCCTGCCCTCCTGCTTTAGCCCCTTAAAGGAAGCACAAATGGAAGAGCCATGTGAGCTCACCACCCTTTGGGTAGCTCAGCCCTGTGGCATGGAGAAACCCAGAACTGGGGGTGGACCAGACAGTCCCAAGAGGAAGCTAGCTCTGAGGGTCATCCTTGTGGCCCCAGGCTCTGCAGTCTTTGTGCCTGTAGTAAGGCCTGGGAGGTTCCCTGGGCTCTTCAGAGGAGACCTGGGAGCAGTGAAAGTCCTGACATGATTACTCCTCAGATGCTTGGTGAAAATGCAGAACCCGGCTCTAAATGCCCTGCACTCAGGCCCTACACCTCACCTCACATGGTCCAGAGCCCATCTAGTTTGCACTCAGGCCGTGGCTGGCATCTCACATGACCACCAGCACTAAGTGCTGGGCTCCTGCTCTGCCCTCCTTCCTTCCTTCCTTCCATCTCTCCATTTTCTCTCTTTCTCTTTCTGCACCTGTCTATGTAGGTCCAGGATTAGTTTATTGCGTCTTTTATGGGGAAATTGTCTTCACGTAACCTCTGCCCTGTGATACTGTGCGTGCCCAGCCCTAAATGGCCCAAACACACCTGCAGATCATGTCTCTGGTCTTGCTCTGAAGCAAGAAGCCCTGGACTGACGCACCTTCCCTCCTGCAGACTCAAGTGTGTCCACTTGTCTTTCCAGTGCATGCCCTGAGACCGGCAGATATCCAAGTTGTGGCTGCTCTGGGGGATTCCCTGACCGTAAGGACTCTTGAGAGTGGGTTGGGGTGGCTGGGCCAGTTCCAGGTCCCAGTCCTCCTAACTCCAGGGCCTGCCCTCTGTCCCTGCATTGCTCCCTGTTCTGGCTCTGTCATCCGAGAGCATGTCAATGATTTGCTTTTGCAGCCACCTTCTCAAGCAGGTGTGCAGAGGAAATCTTTCTCAGAAGTGAACTGAATTATCTCAGACAGAAAGGCTTTGGAACACCCCAAAACAAAAATATGTTGTTTTGCCTCAAACATTCCTCTAACCCTGCCTGTGTGGGTGGTCTCTTCCATTTGGATCATGCTTTATAATCAGCTCTGACCCTGGCATCTGTTTCCTCTTTGCATCTACGTGGAGAGACTCCTGGGTTGTGACTAAAGGTTCCACTCCTGACTTTTGAGAAGAGAAGTGGGGCTGTTTTACTCTCCCAGAGCGCCTCCTCCCAATAGCACTTCTAAGGTCCTGAGAATACCTTACAGAATGCCCTAGAGGGGAAGACAAGACTCTGGACATTTATGAATAATCTGCCCTCTGCAGCTGATCAGATCAATGAGCTTAGAAAGAACTTAGGAGGGTAATGCTGGGAAGGGCATCAACACTCTCTTGTACCTATAAAGCTTTCGAGAGTTTTCAAAGCAATTTTTTAGAATAGTGATCCAATTTCATCCTTAAAATACCCCTGTGAGATAAGCCAGGCATGTCCTCCACTAGGTGAGGGGGCAGCTGGGTTTGGGACAAGGCGTACAGCTGAGAAGGAGCCCCCCGGGCTGCGGCCCGGGGCCCTGGCCCCTGCCACCGTGAGTAGTGCACTGGGAACTTTGAAGCCCTGCTTGTTCACAGCCTCCTTTTCCTCTGACGTGCTATTTTCCCATGGATTTTGGTATGTTTTCAAAGGCTGGCAATGGAATCGGCTCCAAACCAGGCGACCTCCTGGATGTCACCACCCAGTATCGGGGACTGTCGTTTAGGTAATGTAACTTTTGACTTCCCCCAGGGCTCACCCCAGAGATTGGGTTGGGAGGGTTGCCTCCTGCAAATGCATAAATCCCAAAGATCAAAACTTGGCCTAGAAGGGGCTTTCAGAAGGAAAACTTATATATTTCTGCAAAGCATGAACATTTGGTGGGTAGAGAGGATATGTTACTGTCGATGATCTTTTTTTTTTAATTGTGCAGAGAAAGTAAACAGGGGTCTTTATCAAACTCCTGGGTCAGCAAATCCCATATGAAATGCACGTGAAAAGCTCCAAATCCCCGACTTCCGCTTGTCTGCTTGCCCGTGTGTGCACACACGGATGCCCCCACACCCCGGTTCACTGCATCTGTTCATTACATTGTGCTGTACTCACACTCTGCGTTTACATGTTGTATGCATCCTACAGAAAACCTCCAAACCCAATGTGCACACCTCAGGAGGGCGTAAGTGAGATGAGCCCCTCCTGTGCACCTGCCTGCTGTTAGCAGCTGAGGGGTGGGTGAGGGAGGGGCAGGGAATGCATATGCCCCACTGGCAAGTGCTATTTAAAAACAAAAATACCTGGGTGCCACGGGAGCAGGAGGGAGGAGTGAGCCACCCTCGCAGAAGGGACAGGAAGCTTCCCGGAGAAAGTGGTACCCATCTGTCTTGAAAGATTATTAGTTTAACGAGAGGAAAGGGTGGAAAGGGGCATCGCAGATGCAGAAGTGAAAAAGGTGTGTCAGGCAAGCAGCTGCATGTGAGTATTCTCAAGTTCCTTTCCCAGTAAAGTTAGTGTTTATGGAGGCTTCAGAGTAATTGGTGAGTAACTCAGAATT